AGTGTAGATAGCGGTAGCGTAGCGTAGTCCTTTACATAAAAAACAAGTATGAATCTGCAATCATGGGAAATGTCGCAAAACCTCTTACTTCTTGGTCCTATTTACTGGAATTTATGATTTCATTTAGCGTCGCATATTTCAACGATGCGCCATTTGCATCGGTACGAGCCGCAGTATTGAATTCGCTGTTACTGGATTTCGAAATATTAAATAATAAGAACATTTCCTACACCGATATTTTTTAATAAAATATTATTTATGAGATTTAGAAATTCATGTGGCATTTTGTATATTTTTACCTTATATATTATTACAAAGATCTATTTTACGTCATTTTAAGAAGACGTATATCTCTAATATCATGTGGGTAATAAGGATAAAACATTCAACAAATGTTATCTGAACAAACAGGAGTATGAGTCTAACATACGACCTACTAGTATAGAAAAAGCTTAATTATAAATTCGAACAAGTCAAAATTACTGACAGAACATATATACTAGTAGTAGATTATAAATACATATTTTTAATAACCTAGTTTGACGTTTATGGTATCATAATAAAATATATTAAAGATTCTTTATTAAAACAGGATTAACATTTACCCTAAGAAGTGATTTCGACTAAAAATTTAATTAAAAGGAATACAGGGAAGATTTACAAGGAAAAATATAATAATTTTGAACTCAAAACCTTATTTTTAATAAAAATGTGTTTTATCTTGCTCAATCAAAACATTTGAATCAAACGAGTTTAAAGAATAAATAAAAAAGAGTAACACAAAGTCTTAATCAGACGTGTTATTAAAGACGAAATAATAAAAGACCAGACAATAAACAATAGAGTAGCGCATGTAAAAAGTCTTTAATGCTACATATGTAAGGAACTTCAATATAAAAATGTATTAATTGCATTTTACATTACACAAGAACATTGCAAACAGCTACAACCAAGCTTGGGGTAATAACGGCTGAGAGAATTCTTTGATTTCATTATTGTCAGTGGAGTCTTTGTGCACCTGCTAGCAAAAAATTATATTGCTCATTTTCTAGAACGTGGCGGTAAGCGACCTGTTGTGAAATTTTTTAATTAAGTGCAGGGAAGTCTATACTGAGCTCGTTTATTGTTGAAGGGGCTAGTTTTCTTGCTTTACAGATACACCTACATGTGTTTATTGGTAAAATATAGTCTAAAGGACTATGCCTCTTGGATGCTATTAAAATGTAATACAGACGACCCCCTTAAGTGTTTTAAGCCTATGGGGAAGCACGACTTATAGCGGAGACGGTTCTTTTAACTTAATTTATTGCACAAATATTGAAAATATGTGGTGATAAGTAATCACTGGTTTTTATCATAATTTTTTCATTTCACGTTATAATAGTAATGTAAGTTTTTTTGGAATCTCTGGAACTAATGAGATGATTTCGTTAATTTCCACTTATACTAAGAGATATATTTGATTATGTATGTTTTCTTGTTTCTTTTGGAAACTTTAAATACAGTTACAATTAAATCAACCGATTTAAGTATAACTTGGTTAACTTCGAATTGTTCTTCGAAGAAAATATTGATGTAAGATTGTGTTGTCCCTAGTACTTTATTAATCATAGACTTTTTAGATTTATAATGAAGTAATGATTAGCTTCGAAGTTTCGGCGTTAGATGATCAAAGGCTTAGTATAATGTTTAAACCGTGCCAATTAGCACTTGAAGTGAAAAAGCCAACAGTTTAACTGGATTGCGGGTGTAACCTAGATGAGTTTGGCGAAGGATTGGGGCCAGAGTCGTGACCCGAGATATGCCTCAACATTAGAATTTTGATTTGACATGATACTTTTGGACTGTATCCGCTTGTATAAAAAATATATACTATATCTAAAAATAGTATATATATTTTTTATTGTTAAGATTGATAAATAAATATAAAAAATGTACATAACTCGTAATATATATGCGTAAGTTTATATAAACAAGTAAACTTAATGCATTCGTCAAATTACAGTGGAGTGTTGGATGTTTGAAGAATCCTAAAAAATGCAACGACTATCGGACTATCTCACTTATGAGCCATGTTTTGAAACTCTTTCTGAAAGTGATTCATAATAGGATATACTCTAAATGTGAATCAACACTATCCTGCACCCAATTTGGCTTTCGAAGCGGTTTAGGGAAGAGAGACGCTCTCTTTGGCTATCAAGTGTTGATACAGAGATGCTTGGACATGAACAGGGATCTTTTCGTCTGTTTTGTCTAAAATGATGGAAATACTCCAGAGAATTGGCTTAGATTATAAAGATTGCTGTTTCATTAAAAACCTATATTGGAAGCAAAGTGCTAATATAAGGGTAAACAGCAAACATTCTTCATATATCGAGATTCAGAAAGGTGTGCGTCAAGGTTGCATTTTATCACCTTTGCTATTTAACTTGTATGCTGATGCAATAATTACAGAAGCCCTAGATAATTGTCAACATGGCATAGCAATTAATGGCAAACTGCTGAATAACTTGAGATACGCTGATGACACGATCTTAATCGCAGAGAGCCTCGAGGGTCTACAGAATTTAGTCAATTCAGTTGCCGCCGTGAGTTCTGAATTTGGTATTAGCATCAATGCGAAAAAGTCAAAATATATGACAATAAGCCGAACACCGGAGCTTTTCACGCAACATATATACCTCAACAATCAGACCTTGGAACGTGTCTCGAAAATACGATATCTAGGCACATTGATTGATGAAAAGGGTGACCATAGCATCCAAATCCGCTGCAGAATTGAACAAGCTCGGAACGCCTTTTCAAAACTAAAAAAAGTACTTTGTGACAAGTGCCTAAATTTACAGCTTAGAACTCGCATTGCGCGATGTTACGTCTTCTCTGTGCTGCTCTACGGCGTAGAATCTTGGACGCTGACAGAGACTATGTCCAAAAAAGTGGAAGCGTTTGAGATGTGGGTTTATCGACGTATGCTTAAAATGTCTTGGACAGACCGCATACGAAATACAATCGTGCTGGACAGAATGCAGAAGAACAAAGAAGTGCTTATGACGGTTAAGAAAAGGAAACTTGAGTATTTCGGACACGTTTTACGCAACTCCAAAAAATATGAGCTCCTTCAACTAATCATACAAGGCAAAGTGGCAGGTAGAAGGAGACCTGGCCGCAGACGCACGTCCTGGTTGAAAAACTTGAGACAATGGTTTGGTCAAAGCACCAAGTCATTATTTAGAAGCGCGGCATCCAAAATTAAAATAGCCATGATGATCGCCAACCTTCGCAAGGAGATGGCACTATAAGAAGAAGAAGAAGTTGGATGTTTGCGGTTGTCTAGAAATATCCGAATAAAAGAAACCTTAACTCACCCCTAACACGTATTTTATTTTAACATATATTTTTATTTTATATGAAACGAGGTTAATTTTAGTACAAATTTAATTACATATATTACGAATAACAAACTATGTTACGCATTTATTGATATTGTTTGAATTCAGTCAATTACACAATAATAGGCCTGTCGTATATTTAAATTCTACAATACCAGTTACAATGTAAAATGTCGTGTAGTAATTATATAGAAGCTCGTAATTATAGGAAAAAAGTACTTTCGTAGCATAATGGACAAATATATAGCACGTAGGTGCCTACAGTCACGAATGTCGAATAAAAAATATGTAGGTCGAGTCCCTAATTTATGTTGTTTCGTAGTGAAACACGCGATATTATCTTCGTGCATGATACTAGACGGTTCATTTGTACGTCTACAGCGTTTTCTAGGGCTTTGTTTGCAATCTATAACTTTAGGCTTTATATAAAAATACAGACTGTTATATAGCACCGAAATTTTCGTATTGTTTTCGGTGAACAATACTTGCAGTTTTTCAATTGTTACTTTGCGCTGTGTTGAAATTAATCAGCAAGTATAAATATAATATTGAGGGCACAAAAACGATGGTAAAAAAAGATTTTATTATTGTGTTTTTGGGTCAAAAAGGTTAAAAAATACGTGAAGGGTTGAACCCGGATATTGGAGGCAGGCAACCTGACCGGATGAACTCGTAGCATTATTCGCTTAAAGCGTTAAGCTGTTTGATATTCAGAATGTATGTAACCCTGGTAGATTGATGGGATCTCAATGTAGTTGAAATAAATTATTTAAAACACCCTGCTTGTTAAAACGAGTACGGTTGATTTGCCTACACTCGAATAAATAAACTACACAATATTTATCTCCAATAACGATCGCTTTAAGACAGTTACATTAGCTTAATTATATCAATATCAATAAATCATGAATGATAAAAGTTTAAGTAATATTTTCTTTTGTTATAATTTTATAAATCCTTTAATAATGTTTCCGATCTTGTGATCATTTGTTTTCAAATTGAATCAGTTTTCCCATTCCAATTTGTAATAATATCGATCAATTACTTAGTATACGAGTCGTGTACACCACTTCTCTCATGATACTTGTGCCCAATACGATCAAACACATCTGGTACGTAATCTTGTTATGAGAAAAAACTTTCTTAATAAGAATGTTGGGTCCCAATCCTCTCTTGAGAGTTGTAATAATTACTTATGTACTACCAATGATTTAGTCTATTCTTACTTAGATAATTAATCGTTTTTTATCAATTTGTTTAAATAATAATAAATTGAAGTATCTAGGAGACTAGATAAACTGAATTTGTTCACAGTTACAGTTTTTTCTAATTTAAATTTATTAATTAATTTTAAATTCCATATAAGTAGTTAATAGTTAATATAAATTTTTTAAAAAGCTTAATATTAAAAGTTATAATTATTCCATAAGTCGTGTGCAAGCGTCTTTATTCAATGAGTTTTCTTGTAAACTATATAGACTATGACTATAGCATAAACTGGTGATATTTAAAAACAGTTACTTTATTCAAAATTATATTTTCGTTGACTCCAGATAGAAATAATACGAAGTTACCAATTAAGTGGTGATGTTAATTTATCTCCTGAAATCATCAGGTAAATGCGGAGGGTGAGAGGGATATTGGGACGGGTATGCCGGAGGAATGTATGGTGGATTGTACGGAGGATTGGTGGGTGGATAGTTTGGCAGAGCAGTCGGCGGATAGGTTGGGGGGGGGATATTGCGGATCATACTGCGGTGGTCCTGGTGGTTGTGAGTATGGCGGTGGCTGGTACGTCTGCAGATGTGGGGGCAGTGGAGCTAGACTGCTATAATAGCAGTATGGGGCACAGAATCCGTTCCTGCAGTTTGGTCCACATGGAAGAGAGTGAGGTGGCGCCATTTCTGAAAGGACAATTCAAAATCTGGCGTGAAATGTAGTTGACACCTCCGTCTCTCAATGGATATTGATATATAGAATTGCAACAAAATTAAGCCTAGGCTCTCTTATCTCTAAGTTGACCTGATTTCGAATTGTATAGGCTAAATCCTATACTACATATAATTTCAAGTTTTGAATCTAAATCTTACCCCGAGTGTCGGATGGATTTGACATATATTCTACCCTGAATAGACATTTACTTTTATTGTTAGATTTATAACACAGTTCGACGAATTGTTTATTAGTATAGTGGAAGGAGGAACCTAAAGGAAGGATCCTCGACCAGTCTAACTGTCTGGCCGGTTCGAAGGTCCCCCAGTGATCGAGAAGTTGTACATACCCTCAGTATCCGGAATAACTTCATTAGCGCGTTTCAGGATGTGACGTCATCGTAGTGATTCATAGGCACAGATTGTAGGCGTCGCTACAGTATCACACCATGATTTAAGGCTCTAGTTTTCTGTCTAGGTCAACCCGCAACAATAATTACCTCACCACAAACCGAACTATGATGTATATATTGATATATTTACGCACCAAATTAGTTTTGTCATTAAAACTATCAAAGAACATTGAACTAGTTTTTGTAATTACGACTTTTACTTACCTGACATCGAATATTATTAATGTATATTATTCGTAACTATTTAAAATCATTTATCAAAACACAAACCTTTATAGGCCCCCTCAGTTAAATATTTCACGTTCACTGTTCACTGACAGTATACTGTATAACAAAAGAATTGATTTGTTAGAAATCATTGATTACATTATCCTTATCAGTTTATCTACACCTTGAATGCGTCATGTTATTTTTATGCGCGACTCTTGGCAGCAATAACCAACGATTAAATCGCAATTATAAAATGCTAATGTTTTTTTAATGTATTTTGTGTAATGCTTTCTGTTGTTTTGGATTGATAGATGACCAGTACGGGAATTTTGACGATTGACGTACCCTTCGAAGTGAAATGGACAATGTTTATTTTGGTGATGAGTCATTCATCACTAAAATAAAATCTCTAAAATCTTCTGACAGTAAATTTGGTGGGTTGTAGTCTTCTGGTTTTATTTGTTGGACTATTTTGATCTTATGAGGATGTAATCTTAAGTCTAAGGCCAAAATTCGTTGAAGACTTGAACGGTGGAGGCTCAAAGAGGCAGCATTTTTCTAGCTGATCGTTGAGGATGCTCCGCGACCGCAGCAGCGACGCGGTCGATGGTTTCAATCGATCGCACAGGCCTATTTTGCGAATTAAATAAAAGCGATTACAAACCTTGCGTTGTGCTTCACTCAACGAAAACTAATTGCAAAACTACGCTTTTACTGCGTACGCGACCTCTCCAGACCTCTGCGACATAGCGCTAAAAAATCCTCACTCGTCATCTACAGAACGCTAGCCCCGCGGGTTACCGATAAATTTGAGTTTAAAGTTTAAAATCGGCGCTGAGACACCCTTTACAGCCATCATTTGGCAAAATATTAAGATAATTTGGGCCATTACTTTGATTAGGTAACTGAAATAAAAAAAACTACAAACAATTTTATATTTGAAATTTTGTATACAAATAATCAATTTCATATATTATATACTTTAAATTTTAGGCTATTTTTATTTACAAAATATTTTAAATTGATGTTATCCCGCTGTGCAAAGCATGTAATTATAAACTATTTAAACGTTTAAAATTAACATAGTAAAGCATTAAACTGATTGAAATTGTCAGAACTTTCAAACGAGTGCTTGTAAAATTTTCTTTAAGACACTATTTACTTATTGTGCTTCGTTTACTTACAAGGTATTTAGGTCTCAGTCGTCTGTTCACAGTTTTGTGTTTGCAAAATGGAATTTTCCTGTTGGGAAGAGGAGAATTCCCAATCGATTTATAAAAAGGTTACTTGTAATGGTTTTGTTGACACTTTTCCTCTTTTTCCTATACGTCGAGGACAATCAAATACATTGCTACTTCCTTTTCCGGACTACGAACTCAGAATATTATTTTTAAATTGTTCTATTTCATGATATTATTTTATTTATTTACGCGATTTCGACAGATTTAAAAGGTAACAGGGGCCTACCATGAACTTTCTTAAAACAATCCAGTTGAGATGCAGCGGAGTTTAGGTACCTAAAGTCAATAGCATTTTTTCGTACCATGACCGCCTATAAGCTGAAGCGTATTAGCATCGCAAGACCGAATGAAAGAACGATAATTTTGTTTGTGGTTTCTGAGTACGTTTAGAAATTTAACTGTCAAACTTACTTCGACAGATGTTTCTATGAAAATAAATAAAATATAAAATTATTTTAAATAATTCATCAATCACAATAAGCTATTATGTCTTATTATATATTTATTTTTATAAAACTATTCTTTTGATTATTTTAAACGGAAAGTTCTCTGGTGCTATGACAGTTGACACTTATTATTTTTAAACGTTTCTTTCAAATTTTGATAGGAGCCTTCAATATTTTGGTGTTTACAAAATTTCGGTTTAAGTATGGGGTAAGTATTGTTCACAAATTTGTTTATTAAAAATAAATACCTATAACGAAGTGAATTACTGATATAAAACCCTTTGCAAAAGATATTACAAATCAACTTATTACTCAAAATCATAAGTAACTATAATAAAAAATAATTCCTTCAAATTGTACAAACTCAATTTATACGTTAACTAATTCATTATTAAATAATTATACTTTCTTTACAGGAAAGCCCCTCTTCATCTCCCAATACGGCTGGTCACCCCCGGGGATAATAACTACAACCTTCCATCTCACTCAAAACTTCGATGTATGCACTTACAATGCAAAATCTTTTCTTCAAATGAAAGATTATTATTATGACGAACCACCAAACTATTCCAATAAAGGTTAATAACAGTACATACAATATGTTTAAAACTATGTTTACCTGGGTCAACAAGTATCTTTCTCAAAGCAAGACCGACATTAGGTTAAAAGACGAGTCAACTACCTGGAAAAATCCGGAGCAATAAAGAAACCCTTAAATCAAATTCAAAACTTAAGAAAAAAATTATGGACTCATATTTAATACATTGTCTTACATATGATTAAGAACCAACAAAAAGATTAAGAGGTAGACCAAAGTAAAACTGGATTGAATAAATAAAAAGAAAAGCTGGTGAAAACTGGACCACCAAAGCAAAAGACAGACAGAAATGTGGAGCAAAATGGAGGAGGCCTTTACCCGTAGAGGGGTCCATAACGATTTAATGATCTGTATAAAAATGAATTTTGTTTTTGATTCTTATTAATTTATTTATCATTTCAAACTTTATACATTGAAATATTAATTATGATTGGAATATAATTTAAAGATTATAAATAATAATATTGTATTTTTTAATGCATGCACATATTTGTAATAATTAATCATATGATATACTTGTTTAATATGTTATTCATTATGGAAATAAAGAGGCTATAATAATAATAATAATTTTCTTTACAGCTTAACCTGACAAAATCGCTAAATTGAGACTATATGAATAAATGTTTATAACCAATTGAACATTGCCTGAAGAACTTTTTCTTCTTGATGAGTATCCTAACTAAATAAATACTGTTATTATAATATTTTTAAATGGCTTATTATTTACACATTATAAATTTAAAAATACCTATGTTTTTTTAAACAACAAAAAGCAGAGGAGAATAATACAATTTATGAACATAGTGAGGAAAAATTTAATTATAATAAATATCTGCTAGTAATATGGCATTCTTATTTATTGTAAAATATGATATATATTGGGGGATTATGTTTTTGTTAGACTGCATAATAATAATTGAATTTATTGAACAATGTGCAATATTTTAGGTACACTGAAATCTTCAATGATCAAAGTCAATAATCTAGTAAATTATAAATCAATATCTACGAAGTCGGTAGTCGGAAGGGCATTGCCGTCTTGTTTCTATCTCGTCTATACTTAATAATTTATTTATAATCACACTCTAAACTCAAATCCTCAAAATATCGTAAATATAAAAATTATATTTTTTTTTCCTATATTAGCCATAGTAGATAAATCTTATTATTTTAACTTTATTAACAAGTTTTAATACAAATATTGAATTTTATAGGTTCTAAACTATTATTTGGACATTTCGATACAAAAAAGTTGAACAAAAAGTAACTTTTTAGGGTATGTTCCGATATACACTGCGACCACTGTACAGAGTACTGTCAATTTAGTATACTGTGAAACCGTTTCTCTATAGCCAGCTATACTGGTTACAATTTAAAACGGAACGCAGTCCAGTAAACTAGTCAGCTTCGTTTTTCGACACAATTTTCAAATGAGTGCATCAAAGTTTTTCAATTCAACAAAAAAATATTGAGTATTATCGCATTAAAAAAATCTATATTAATATTAACTGTCAATTGAATTAAAATAAAATAAAAGAAAGTAAGTTAGAATTTTAAATGTTTGTTATTAAACTGCAAGTTATATCAGCCGTTAGGCATTCAAGTGGTTTTGATTGATCACGTGATCAAAGCACTGCGTGTACCTTACCTCGAAAACGCCAGTGCTCGCAGTAGAAGTATAGCGGGGATTTGTGACGTCATATATTTCCCTAGGACGCTGCGGCTGTATACTGGCGTCCATAGCGGAACGAATTTTTGAACAGTGGGAGCACTATACAGTACTCGCAGTGTATATCGGAACATACCCTTAGAATCGCTTATTCTGTCATAGTTGGAAGGCGCGACTGTCAAATTTCGGTTCAGCCGAGCGGTCATGGTACGGATTTTCATACAAATTGAACGAACGAAATCTGATAACCGCTAAGGTCACGTGGGAACATAAACTGTCTCGTTTTTTCGATGTCATGGTACGAATTAGCGATGCATCTCAGTTGTAGGTTGTCAAAAGGCTCGCAATAAGAGTTCATGGTAGGCCCCAAGAATACTGAAATATGTAATTC